TTATTTCATTTTACAGATTTGTTATATCAACACCCTGTAGTACTGACAAAGACCAGCTGCGCTGTGGTGCTGAATAAGAATGCATACGGTACCCAAGTATTCCTGTTCACCCAATCTTTTAATATACATATTTTTTAACATATGTTCTTATATATATTGTAATTAATATCTTCATGTAAGAAGGGTGGAAGAAGAGTTGGCAGGAAATTCTAAGTGAATTTTCCTCATTTTTTAAATGAATAAATTTCTTAAAAAATGATACCTTATTAAGCGCACCATCTTCACAGTTATGCGTGATCCGGAGATATGGCTCAATATTGCCAACTTCACATTCTTGCCCGTAAATCTCAAATCTTCCTTCGTTATCGCTATGCGTCTTGTTCAGTGAATCATCCGGATCAACTGAATGAATTAACAGTTGAAATTGACATCAAGAAAAACTTTTTTTGATATTTTGACCGGGTGTTTTTTTCATCACAGCTTGCAACTGATAACTTAAAATTTTCTCATTTTGTCCATTTTGAGCGTCTCTTGTCTCCACGTCTTACACAGTATAAAAATGCATGCGCTGTGGGAAGTATATGAGCTGGTTGTGGAATCTATACATATAAATACATATGCATTATAAACAACCATATGTCTTTAGCGGGAATTCTCTTACTGCATTGCCGGTCTCCTCTGTCTTCTTTTAACATTGCGTGGTCACCAAAGAAGTTGAAGTAGTTTATTTTTCACCCCAGAAATAGCGTGCCGCCCGCCAGTTGTTGCAGCACTGGCCGAAGCAAAGAAAAAGTAACCAGTGGCCTTAGCTGGAGCATCACGCCAGAAAAGTAACGGTCAATGGGCTAAAGTAACTATAGAGCAAAACAGACGAATATCGTGCTCGCGCATTTCGACTTCGACATTTTTCACTGCCCGATCGCCGCAGCCCAGCTGTCCGGTTACCGTAACATTTCTTGTTGTGCAGAGACCATCCAAAAGCGAAAAGCATTCGGCGGCAGCCAGCACAAAAAATCCTCGAAGCAGCAACTTTCCAAGCATTCAGCCAATTACCGTATTCTACAACAGACTAAAAACAGTGCGCGTACAAGAGAAATGAGAAATGAAGTCCCCGAAATTATTGGTTTTGGTCACCATGGTCCAGGACGGACTTCTAAGGAGGTGGCGGGGTTATGGGAGAACACTTACCACTCTGGAGTTACGCAAAAATAGGAATAGAGCTGCAACACTGCTACTTAGAGTTGCTTTAGTTTTATTTATGAGCAGAC